TATAAAATTTTATGCTTATTATAGCAATACTTTTATTCTTATTAACTTGTCTGTTCATTTTAAAAACTTATCGTTTTATGATTTTAATCTGATTGCTGACTTAGGAAACTGTTGTAGATGTGATATTTTTTTTTCTTTTTTTTTTGTTTTGAAGATAACAGTGCGATGATTAGAAGTCTAACAGCTGTTTTACATCAATCCTTTATGACACATCTTTTCAATGATGAAACAGAGTAATACATTTCATATTGTGTGCACTCAGCACATCTTGACAATCTTATCTTATTTTATTTATGTTTCTCCAATCTTCCATATCTTTTTTGTTTTCTGTCATTTTTTTCCACTCAATTTTTTTTCACCATTCCATTTTAGATATGACTCTAATGAATGATTTCGTAGCATAACTGCGTATCTCTTCGAATCTTTTAGAAGAGACGAAATCATTAGTTTTGATTTGAAGATTTTTTCATTAGCTTAAAATTTCTTCTAAATCTTTGAAAATTTTCATTTGATGAAAAAATGAAGCATGATTTTTACAAGTCATGATAAATCAAATAAAGCTTGATTGTAAATAGAATTGCGGTTTGCACTTACTTTTTTACAAAAAAGACCTTGACTTTTTGTAAAGCTCATGGACAAACTGACTTTGGCAAAAGCTTCGTATCATCATTTTTCTCTTTTCTGATAATTAAAAAATTTCATAGAGCTTTTTCACATTTCATTTTATGCTGACCAGATATTTTTAATTCTTCAGAAAAACTTCAAATAAAAACTCTTCTAATGGTTAAACAAATGACTGCATTATACATACATATACATAAACAAGCATACACATCCACATCGGAAATTTTTATATCAAACAAACGGAAAATGAAAACATTTTTGTCAAGAGGAAGATAAGTAGTATGAAAAAATTTTGGAAGTTTGACATAACAAAACTTGAAATAGCGAAATGATACGCCGAAGCCACTTTAACCAACAACTGTTTTGCATTTTCTTCAACATCTTCAAACTCTCATTGAAATACATTTCCCGTATTTAGGCAATAGCATTAACGGCATTTAGTTAATTTATCAAAAGTCTAGAAGTTTCTTTCAGAATTTTCCTCCAGAAAATGCTTTGATTTCAGTGTTTTAAGTATAAAATCGAATACAGTAAAGCACTTCTACAATGACACACAGACCTTTCAGAAAAGAAACGTCTTTTCCATTATTTTAAATTGACCATTACTTAATTGGTTTGTCACACATAATTTTTTAAGCTTTCCACAGTTTCTTGTTTAAATGCAATTTAATTTGACTGTGAATATAGAAAATTTTTCAAAACTTTCGGGAATTTCAACTAGCAACTGACCAATGAAAATTTTTTGCAACTAGCTTCTATCTGAATGAAAACTTTGCACAGAAATGTGATAATTATTTTTTCTGTTGAGTGCTGCTGAATTCTTTTTATTCCTTTTAAAAATGAAAACATTACCATAAGTTGATGATTATCGTTGCCGCAGCACTTCAAAGGATCTTGAAACTTTCTTTTATTGGAAGAAAATGCAATAGATCTAAGATTGCCAGTTAAATGAAATGAATGGGAATCTATTCGAGGTCATTTAATATGGTTTTTGGCAAAAAAATCACGATTCTTTTACTTTGTTTTAATAGTTAGTGCTTTTAATCCATTTATTTCCCGAGATTTTGCACAATCTAAATGACTAATAAACAGTAGGTTTTGGTGATGTCCATATTTTCGATTGTTAATTTAATGTTGCATGCTAAGCTATTGCATATACAACTAACTCATTTTTTTCGAAAATTTTCAAAGCTGCCAATTTTGATTGGTGCAAAAATAGCATGACATCGAACACGTGAGTTTTAAACGTGATTGTGTAAGCGTAAAATATATTGATAGTGAAATCAGAACATAAATAGGATTCGAAGATAATCGAAATATACTTGTAGAATGACCTAATGAACGCAAGAAATTTGGTCATAACAGGTCAAATTTAATTACATTAAAGCGCCATTTTAGCATTCACGTTTAGCAGCGGATAATTTCTTTACTTTTGTATCTTTCATCCTTAAATGAACAAATTCACTGTAATATCAGTTCTGTAAGAGCCCATGGCGACATAATGATTGAACTATAGCTGATCCATTTACCCTCGATATGTTCCATCATTCTGTTCCTCAATTACTTTAATTCATTCACATAATTCCAAATTAATTAATTCTCCTGCCGTTCTGCTACAATAATCAGATAAAGGTAGACCGAATTCAATTTTTATTTAGCTGATGTGTAATACTGAGGTGTTTTGTATATAAAAGAAAATTGGTCGTACAACTTATAGTGGTTCTTCACATGCCGCAAGAAGCAATATTGAATTTTTTGGCTTTGTTTACAGGTACAGCACTGGAACATTATAAATTTTGTAACCATCGGCTTATTTTCTGACTGCTACCATTCAGTGAAGATATTAAAAGAGTGATGCGGTGGAAAATATTTCAAGAATGCATCATTTATATTGAAGATTAATCAGTTTTTGATCACATTCATTTCATAAGGACTGCAACCATTTTCCTCTCTCCGCCCTGCTATTTCCCGCATTCTCTTGTCATCTTATAGTACTCTCATCGATTACTGAAACTTACTTCTCCCAGAAAAATGCTTTTAACATAAGTCGAAAAGTCTGTTTACTCTTCTAGCAGTACTCTTTGTTGAAGTGTGTGACAGTTTTATATTTCTAAGTAATCGACTGGCTTACTGTTTAATCAGATTTCTCGTTTCTCTCCATTTTATTTACACATACACATCCTCCACAAAAGAGGAGGAGGATTGACTATGTTGAGGATTCTTTCTTGTAAAACTGTACAAATGCAGTGAGGATTTATATTGCTCAAAGAAATAGTATTAGCAGTACACGGATATCTGAACAGTTCGTCTCGATCATCTATCATCGAATTTTACTCAGGTAAAATATTCATTATGCTTCTGTTCTGTTTCTTCTCTTATCCTTTTGTAACACTGACAAAGGTTGATGTAATTTAAAGCTTTCCTATACCACAGTCCAGTTCCCAATTTACTTAATTAGCTTATTTTTCTTGCCAGTTGTAAAAGGCCAAGTATTATATGTACAAATTTGCTATGAATACTCATTCACAGTGAACTTTTTTCGTTTTGTCACAATCAAGAATGGAAGTGAACTGATTCTCTGATATCCACTATAATAATACTGAAATAGAATACTAAATGAGAATCAAATAAAATTTCATTGTCAGTTTTCAATCCAAAAATGACTGTGCTATGTCTCTATTGCTGTGGGTGAAAGCTAGAGACGGGTCAATTAAAGAAAGAAGCCCTTCATTTTAACTTAAAAGTTTCTTATCCTTTAAAGCTCAAGGAAAGACAAAAATTTAATTAGGTTTAAAGCGAACTGGGATGATAACAGTTAAAATAAACAGTAAAGAAAGAAATTTTCAATCAGCAGATTAAAATATAACTATTCTCTAACAAACTATATGATCGTGTTACTTAGTTTAATGAGAGTGAATCCGTGACCTATGTTCTTTTCTTCTCTTTGCCATGGAATTTGTACATCAAATGACATTCATAAGTCTTTGCAATGGTATTGTATGAAACTACAAAACAACATTCATCATTTCTGTTAACACCAATTTTTCACTTCCAGGCCGATAATTATATTTTTAGATATGCAGTGATTGCTGCTGCTCCCCCGTAATCCGTTAGGGATATTTAAAATTCTTCAAAAAAAAAGATTAATCAAATTGATTTCTCGAAATTCTTATATTTAAAACATGTGCAATATTTGAAAACAATAAATTAATCTGGAAGCAACCAATTGTCGCTATATTTAGATACAAGATGTTGAATTTCAAACTTATATAATTGAGTTAACTTTGAAAATCTGGTTTGACTTGTTCAGCAATTTTCTCTCGCCACTTCGAAGACAGCATTTAAAAATTATAGTTTCAATGCATCTGCTTCTTAAACTTAATTTCCCAAATTTCCTCGAAATATTTATCTAGATGATCTTTTTTTTTCAGTCCATCTGCCTTTCAATGTATAACTCCGAGATTATTTTTTACATCATGATTCACCAATAAAATGTTTCGACCTTAAATTAGCTAATTAGAATTGAGAAAAACAGGTAAAGAATTCCAAATCAAATTCAAAGTTAAATTGAGGCATTAGTTCAAATGCATGCAATGAAAACTTTCCATCTTCCACCTTTCATATTCCTTTCATTACTTTTCTATTTGCGCAACATACTAGCAATAGTTTCAGTTTGCTTCACGCCACCCTCTATTACTGCAAGTAGAATAAAGCAAGATGTCCGACGAAGAGGAGCAATAGTAAGTACATTTAACTATCTAGAATTAAGTTGATTTCTGAATGATCTGTTTATCTCATCTTTTAATGCAGAGCAATTTGTTTTGGATCCAGAAATCTGCCAAGTGTAACGATAATACGATGTGCCTCGTGTATGTGTTGATATCTATAACACATACGCACTTCACTCTTTTGCAGTTATTGACCAGCAGCTTACCTGTAGCACCTCCATTATTACGGAAAACCGATACGTAGGAACGGTCTTGAACCGGTAACAGTAGCCATAATTGTACCACCTCATTCACATTCTGGAAATTCTGCACACATAAAACTATCTTTCCTACAGTTTCTAATACAAAACGATTGTAGATTCTGTTAATCCCACTTCGAATATTCACGAATCTGTTATTCAGCAAAAAAAAAAAAGAAGCTTACCAACACTCGATAATGCTATTCCACCACACAATGTATATTTAAAGGAACTGGAGCAACTGCTCCAACTGCATCAATTTATTATACTTCCATACAGGTATCACCGGATCCGTAAATAACAGTTTATCAGTGCTAACTACAATATTACTTTAAAGCAAGCTTACTCCTGCAGACGTTTTTTTTCTCTTTGTGGATATACTACCAGTCCAGTTGCAGGATCCATTATAATGCACGAGAAAGTACCATCGCGAAAAATTGGAACTACTAAACCATATATGAGCACAAATATGCATTTCAATATGACTACGAAAGGCAACTATTCTACTCAAATATACAAGGACGGTCCAGCTATAGTAAATGACTACACAGAACAGAAAATAAGCAGTTCCGATGGATTAGGAAATAATTTGACTCGCCATCGGTCATATGACATTAAACCATTACGTACGGAAAACAGCTCAAGACGATTCACAACGAGTGAACAAACAACTTTTAACATTGCTCTAAACATACCACAATCTGGTTTTATGGATACCACCAACCGTGGTTATGCAGCAAAAAGTACCATAGCACCGTTTTCAATGAAGCCTGCTAGTGTGGGACAAAACAGTTTTACTAGCTTTTTTAACGATGAATATGGTACCATGAGGGCTCAAACAAGTCATATAAGGCAACCGGATAGTTCTAACCATGAATTATCAATGGCAGCAATTTCCCGTAAAATTTCCAATGAACGTAATAAAAGTGGCCATCGTAGTTCACAAGAGGAGATATCTGGGCAAGAATATATGAGACGTCTTCTTCAAGCTCATCAGGTCGTTGATGAGCTGCTTAAATCACGGGGTTTGGTACTGGAAGATGAAATTGACTATTTGCGGAACTGGCGTCAAAAAATGAATCGAGAGCCAAAAATTGAAGAGCGAAATGCAGTGAATGCTTCTGACCGAGTAGCATCCAAAAATGCTGAAAGCTTGGACACTTCAGAGACTTTTCAACGGCGTTGTATATCAAACACGTCTGATTCTGGATTGTCAATGGATGCTGATTCAGAAAACGAACTACGAGATAGCCCAAAATTAGAAGAACTTAATTCACAAAATTTTATGGTTGCAGATTTATTATCATCCAAAATGCAGGAAACAACTCCCGTAAAATCGGTAAAAGTTAATATCGTAAAAGCAAAGAAGCATAAGAATGTATGCTTGAAAGTGATAATCAGAAAGCCGCAACACTGTTGTCTATATATGGATGTGATTGAAAAAAAAGAAGCAGTAAGTGAAAAAACGACAAATTCCAATGTAACAAGAAATTTAATGAAAAGGTGCAATAAAGGACTACGAATGATTGGTGGCCAAACGGAAGGAGTCAAAAATATAAATCAAACTCACACATCCGTGAAATCAAATGAGAATTTTCTCACTCAAAACAAAAAACTAAATAAAGACCAGAAAATGGAGGCTCCAACAGTACTTGAACAGTTAACATCAACTTCAAGCCCAGAATCAAGCAGTGCAAAATCTAATGAGCCAGAAACGGCCAAGAAACACAATGTCTTTATATCGAAACTGAAATGTGAGACAGTAAATATATGCTGCTGTTTTGTAAATAAATTTTACCGCTTAGATAGAACGACAATCACTTTATCAATACCACATTGCGCGACTGCTAAACAAAAAAATATTGCCGTTAGCGACAAGAAATTTTTGGACAAGACGAAAAAGGGACTGAAATCAAAATGCAACAAAGATGAACCAGTGTTTACTTTCTTTCTTGCAAAGACGGAGAAGCCAGCATGTAATACGAAAATGTTTCCAGAATTGCAAAATATGGAAAAAACAAACAAAATTAGAATAGTGCGAAAAGAAGATGAAGTGGTTAAAAGCAAAGCTAAGATGGCAGAAAAAGATTTGAATAAGACCGAGAAACGTTCTGAACTCCCAATTCTGATAAAGGAATCTGGAAAGAAAGTGAAAGCACCGGAAGAGGGCGCTCGTTTAGTTCCAGTATCACATATACCAAATCAAGCACGAAAAACTTCTAATAGCAATAAGCAAGTAACTCTTTCAAAAAATTTATATCTAAAGTCAAAATTGCCCCAATCAGAAGCAACAATGACAATACCGTTAAGATCACATAAATTAAAGGTCACCAAACTAGTGACGGTTAAAGAGATGACGGATAATAAAAAGCACCAGCGTGAAGAATTGATCAGAACGAACAATCCATCAGTACTGAAAAAAAAGGAATGTTTTGAACTAAAGAAAACTCAAAAAACACTACAGAATTGCACCACAGTAACAAGCAAATACTATCAGAAAACACTCCGATCGATCAGTGGAAATGAAAATAATGCGATGACAGAGTTCGAGCGCAATGCAAGTATTGATATACGCCGAGCACGAGAGCATCTGAGGTGCATTAATTTTAACAGGAACGGTGTAAAGTTGGAATCAAATACATCCTTCGTTCACAGGATCAATGAAGAGCCAGTGAAGTTATCAAGCATAACAAGCTTAGGAGCTTCTTCGGAGCAGAGTTCCTCAGTTTTATTAGTGGTAAAGAAGAAAGCAAAGAAAAAAGTGTCTGGAATGAAAATAGAGGACTCGGAGGATCGACCAGTGGGAGGAACGAGTACTGCATCTATTGAAAAAGAAGGATCTCATGGTGGTGGAACAACTGCAGAACGAAATAGTGATATTTTAGACAGAGAATTGATTAATGCATACAGACGCACTCAACGCATTCCCAAACCTCAGGCCAAAATTCCAGCTTGGAATGTGTATGACGAACGAAAGCTAGCAATAGATACCATATGGAATTCACCAAAACTGCACCGCAGAACTCTCTCCACTACAACACCAGTACCCTGCTTTATTCGTACTCGTACACCAGCACCTATCGATGTTACTGCCACCTTATCTACACCTGTTCCTTCTATTGCTCTTTTGCGTCACATCCCTGCAAATCATTTACCAGTGACCCCACCACAAAAAAATGTTTTGTCAAACGGTAATGGTAAAACCATCGCGGGTAGTTTGCAACAGAACATGTCAAACAGTCGGTTTGGAGTTACGCTAAAACGTGTCGATCGTGCCACGCTACAGAAAAGCAAGCCGCGTGGTGCTATAACACAATCAGCACCAAAGAAACCTTGGGTACCAAAGTGGCGTCGAATACAACGGTATACACTTAATAGACTTACTTTCTTTTTATTTCATGCAAATAGTCAAGTTTAAATTCAAAAAATTCTGTACTTTAGGAAATCGTGATTTTAATGAACTTGTTTTTGCAGCACAGAAGAAGAGGAAGAAGCGGAAACGATACCAGTTGTTGAAATGAATAAGGACGGAGATGGAAGTGATGGTGATGAACAGGGAGAGAAGCAAATGACCATGTAGCTTTCATACTATCGAAAAGTTAAATATCTTTTGTAGACTGCTCAAGTTTTCACATGATTATTCATTGTGAAAATAATTTACAACTACCCGAAAATTCAGCAGCATAGATGTGCTGATCGTGATACAGGCAGCTATATTTAGCTTACTGAAAAAAAGTAGGACGGTCAATTCTTAGGCTATTTTGCTGACCTTTTAGTAGTGTCATTTCACTCAGTGAACTACAAATTTTGTTTCAGACTGTTATCATCATCGCAGGTTCCCATTCAGAAGGATAGAAAGGATATGACCGAAGCTGAAAAAGCCATGATGGTATGATGTGTGCTTTTTCCTTAATTGTAATGTTAAAAATTAATTCATGGGAAAGATTTTTATTTCGTTGTTTCAAAATTTGTAAGCCGATGTTTGGAATTTCCGAGCAGAAATACTGATTTCAAAAAATAGGAATACAACTATTTTCTAGGTGGCAAAAAGACGCCAAATAGAAGACGAAACTGCAAAGCTACAAGAATATGAGGAAAAACGTCGAGTTGAACGTGAACGGGAGAAAGAAGAATTGAGGAAATTGAAGGAAAAAAAGGAACGAAGAAAACATGAACGAGAAGAGGAAGAGCGACAGTTTCAAGAAAGACTTAAGCAAGAAGAAGAAAGAAGAAATCAGGAAGAGGTTCTTTCTTACTTCATTCGAAACTGGTTGTTCTAAACAGTTATCTTTTTAAATGTTTAAAATTTTTGAATCAAATACATGAAAATTGAGTAGATGTTGTCGGACAAGCAACTTATGGAACAAAATTTACATCTTAGGGGGAGCGCAAAGCTAAAATGGAAGCAGAAAAACGTAAAAAGGATGACGAAAAACGAAAACGCCAACAAATGTTATCAACTCAGTTTACGAATACAGATTCGGGACAAATGGGACGTAATTTTGTTATTCCTCAAAAATCCGACAAGGCCGATAAATTCGGCAACATCGTTCAGGTACACTTACAGATTTAGCATACAATAAGCTATATATTTTAATAATAATTTATATAAAAACAGAACCTAATTGTTTCATATTGTATAATAAGTGAATGCATGTGTTTAAAATAGATACATCTGTGCGTGGTATACGCGCTTTTGTCACCAATATTGCTTTTTTAGCACCTTATTTTTGCCTTATTCATTATCCAAAAAATGGATAGGTTTGTTATCCTCTTGTTTAAATAAATATCATTTTCAGGCCAAACATGAAATGAGTATGACAAAAGAGCAACAAGAAGAAGCAAAGCGTAATTATTTGGTATCTGTGAAGCATACTATCGAATTCGAAAAAATTGCCCCGGCAGAGTTGCGTGAAAAAATACGTCAATTACACCAACGCATTTGTAAGCTGGAGGCCGATAAATATGACTTGGAAAAACGGCATGAACGTCAAGAATACGACGTAATTACTTTCACATTTACTGTCTTTTGTTAACTGTCAGAATAAGTCAAGTTCATTTCTCCGTGTGGTTTATATCTAACAAAAAAAATTTTCAATGTTTGCTTTTGTTGCTTATAAAAACATAAATGTATTCTAGTTGCGTGAGCTGAACGAACGCCAACGTCAAGTGGCACGTAATAAAGCACTCAAAAAGGGACTTGATCCAGCTAATACAAATTCTAGACATCCGGTTACTGTTTTATATTTTCCAACGTAATATAAAGAAATATGAAAAAAATGAAACCTGAGTTAAAGACGTCTTCTTCGATGGCACTAATTATCTTTCAGTATCTGTGCACTAATTATGTTCATACTCCAAACAGTAATTTCAAAAATTGTTCTTGCAGAAATGTGTCACATCATCTTTTAAAGATGCAACTTTAGCAGTCAGGTTTATACCAGCTACAACGAAATCAGAAATGACTGCTGATGTAAAGGGTTTTTCTTTTCTTAAAGTTTGCTTCAGCTGCAGCATTAACTGCGCCAATAATCATAATCCCAACTATTCTAGAAGATTTTTCTACATCAAAAATTTCAACATAAAGGGATAGTATACAAATTGATGAGTAGTGGATCTTTCGCGGCTGAAGCAAACTTTTTTTCACAATTCATGCCTGTTACATTTTAGCCGAAGGTATCGGTAGTGAGCAAATACGATCGTCAAATCGACCGAAGAAATTTCAGAGAACGCAGGGCTATATTTGAGAATGTACATTTCGATTAATCATGTTTTATAACTCTACATTTTCGTTCTTATCCACTAATAACTTAAATATCACTGCATGCAGTTATGAATTCATAAATTCAATAAAATTCTTTTTTCTATTTTGGTTCATTATAATTTTTTTTTAGATACTCCCTAAACATTCCTTTTCATTACATGTGACTGCATATTTGTCTACTTTTATGATACCTTAGGCAATGTTTTCTTCCAGAAAACTTCACATCCATGCTTTCCAAATGTTCCACCACCATCAACTGTTTACAAGAAAATGATTCTCTCCTACGACAAGGAGGACGTATGCAATTTTTGCATTTTAATTATTATCTACTTGCTTTTTCAAATTGCTGCTCAATGATATTCTATATCAATTTTAGGAGCCAGAAGATGAGGGTGATGAAATCGGTGAACAAGTATGTTTTTAGTCTTTACAACCATAATTTATCACGTCCATTTGTTCATTTATCTTGCTTTATCAAATTTCGTTCTCTAAATTGTTTAGCACTTATTTCTGTTTCAGTTTTTCTCCCTATTTATGAGTTACTTCTTAAAAGTTTCCTTCAAATTATTGATAGTCTTCCCTAAATACTTCAAAAACTAAATTCATCGAGTGATGTGCTCCGCCTTAGAAACTTATTTCTCTTTTTCAAAATTCCACAAGCAGCAGCTCCATGGTTGTATACATAATAAAACTTTCTTCTATACAAATGTAAGCCCAAACAGAAAACTTGAAATATTTCTTCATAATTTCATTTGGTAGTTTATTGGAAGAGAGATTTGAAATCTTCTGCTTTAACTATTAGAGAACAGTTGTGGAAAATAATATTGCTCGAATTGCAGGAAGAAGAAGACGAAGAAGAATAAATTTTGTAAACTATTTGCATGAATCATCAGTATATATGTCATTAGTTTGTGTCATCCGATCATAAGAATCTTTTTTTTTTTCTTAGCAGTGATGTTTTTTTTTTTGCTTAGCAGTGATGTTTTTTTTTGCTTACAGTCATATATGTTTCTAATACATTTACATTTTGTTTTGTCTACCGTGAATCATACTGCATACGGAATAACTGTTAACACATCCGGTAAAGTGATGATGTTCAAAAAGTTAACCATGAACTTTCACAACAATCAAATCCATTGAAATGCAAACCAATGAATCGTGCTAATAAACATTTTAACCTGTATGTCGCCGATGCTTATAAGCCTTGGTATAATTTATAGACATTAGAATACTTATTTCATTCCTAAAAATCATAATGCATCAAATTTCAACAAGCTGAAATTCATCTTTGCATGCCAATAAAAATATTCGCAAGGTTGCAAATCACAATTATATACTATCAATTGATTTTGAAGCTCTGAAAAAACCAATAATAAAAAACAAGAAATCGCTATTTGCTCACTATTTGTACCAAAATTTAAGCCAAATCACATAGCGACTTTGATGGCTTTTAATTCGTCAAAGGCGGCTTGTAAGTTCTGTTAGGATGTAAAGATGAATTTTTAGACTTCGGTGAAAATTATAATGGTGCGCAGTTGCATTGGGCAAAATTCAAAAACGACAAATAAGTGGAAAGTTGATCAACATCATCAAGCGAATCTAACAATCAACTTACGCTCGAAATCGATTAAAAATTTAGTAAATAACTATGGGAAATCAAGGCAAACCATTCAGCCATATAAAGCTCTGAATTATATCTGGACTTTTTTGAAAGCACTGGATCTAATGAAATGAAATGCTAATGTTTCAATTCTTACATGATAATTCAGTAAAAAATCCAGTGTTTTTACGAAACTTTTACTTTTCTAATTATCCATTTATAATTTAGATGCAAATCGTGTACCGAAGATTCTGAGAAGAATTCAAAAGTTATTGTAAAACCTGGAACGAAACAACTGGAGATGAAAAAAGTTGAGGACGAAAACAAAGGAAAAATAGACAGTTGGTTTACTTAAAAAATTTTAAACTTCAACTTACAGATTTGTTCTTATTAGCTCGTTTACGCTGTTAATAACTTAACCGAAGGATGGATTTAAATGGAGTTACTCTTCCTCGTATAAAAAGGAGACATAGTTCGGCGTACTGCGAAAAGCAAAAGTCTTCATGATCAGGATTATCAATAAATATGTCACATTATCCATTAGCTGTCCACAAATCCATTGCTTGGATTTAAATCCAAAATTTATCATTCAACAATCTGCTCATGTTGTCTCTGCAATTGTTTTATCCTTATTATGCTTATCGCGTCATTAAATATTATTTCAATTTATCCGAAACTGCCTTAAGCACTTATAACATCATTTTGATTAATTACTGTCCTTTTTCTTAGAATCTTTGATTTTAATTATCTTTTCACCGTTTTTTTTAATGACAATATCAGTGTGCATTCTGAACTTCCAAATCGATCTCAGTAAATAATTCTATCAGAGAATTTTATTCCTGTACTAATGAGCGAATTCCTCTTTTTTTTTTCAATTTTCCGTATGGTTTAAATCCTAATGCAGAACAGATGGTAATTTTATCTTAACTATCAACGATTCTATTCGTATATTAAGTTTTTGTTGATATTCCTTCGAAAGGAGTATTTTTTAATTGCGAATAAAATGGGCAATAATTTGTTTTGAACTATACCAGAATATTTTGCGTCTCCTTCCAATCTTCCCAATTCATTCTGTCAACAATTGAAGTGATATTTACGCTATGGATATGATAATGTTATCAAGATTCATATGAAGAGAGGAAATGCAAACTTCATATAATTTATCTATGCCTTAAAAGGATTGTTTATCTCTTTCTTTTTACTTCTGATCATCATTTTATCAATGCCAATCAATTTCCTTTTTTCCGGGCTTCCATTTTCATCTCACAAAATAACTGTATACGAATAAGCGACATTGTATGAAACTGTTTTATTGTTATATTTTTTAAATTTCTTCAATCAATCATCACTTGTATTTTATTCTTTGCAATAAAGAGCACTATCAGTCTCCCTTGCATGTTCAAATATTACTCCATCTCTTAGCTCTAAATCCCTAAAAGTCCTTCATTATCATTCTTAACATTTTGCTAATCAAATAAACTTAGAGAAACTTTTAATCTGAATCCTGTCATCAACTGTATTTGGTAATTGCTTTTATTAATTTAGGTCACTTATGTACATCTTCCGGTTATTTTCGAGCTGAGTATTCAATTAAAAATAATTGATTAAGACCTCGAAAATATGTGTAATTAGAGAAAAAGATTACAGAAACTGAAATTCAATTTAAAAAGTTTTTTTTATATCGACTACTGAAGGCTTTTAATAAAATCGAAAACAACGGAATGAATATTGTCGCTAACAATGTGTTTTTCCTATATTAGAAGTTGAGCACTTACCTTCTTTTTCCGTAAAAGTTATCCTTGATGAAAGATGAATTTATAACTATCCTGTTGTTGGTATTTGGCAGATCAGACCAATTTAATCATCAGACTGAATTTCGGAAACACTTGAATAATTAATTTTTAGTATTTTAATACGTTACAGTGAAGGGAACTTATTTTTAGCTTTTCCTTTACGAAATTGTATGAAATATTTAAAAGTAATTAAAACTTTCAGGATTTGGCGCATCTACTAGATCAAATCAATGAAGTAATCCAAATTTGTCGAAATAAATTCAGACAAACAATAGAAGTCATTAACGATTTTGTCAAATTTATTTGTTTATTTTGTTTACGGAGCTGTATGAAATATTGAATCTGTTAAAATTCATTAGTATATCGATTATAATAATCTTTTTTGAAAGTTTCTATCAGTAAACATTATTGAAAGTTTTTGTCAGTTTTTTTAAATGTCGGCTCAATAGTGATATTTTCCGACTATAAGAAATATTGAGAATAAAATACAATAGATTAGAAAATTTATGAGAAATATATGTAAATTTGAACGCTATCCTCCAGGTGTTAAATGAATGGTAAAAAATTTTCATACTTGTCATCATTCGTTGAATATTTTGTCCAACTCTCATCGTATGATATTTTGGTAACAAAATGTTTGTCAAAATAAATCCATAATATCGTTGTTTCATTTCTTCATGGATTATTTCGACTAATATAAAACGGTTCGTAAAAAACAATATGTTTTTTGTTTATATATTGACAGAATATTTGAATTTAAACTGTTCTTTTGAACTGTTTGATATTAAATTTCTATGCGTGACATAAATAGTCCCTAAAAGTACTTGGCGGAAATGTTCACAATCTTCAAGTACTTGTCAGTTTACTGAAACATTATATTGTTACTGTTGGTTTCATTTATTTATTCCTTAATGTTAAATTATTTATTTTGTTAAGATTATGCGATCACAGATTTTGGCAGTGCAATCGTGAATTTTAATGCTAGACAGAAAACACACATATATCTAATTATCAATGAATCTCGAAAAGCACGGTGACTTATTCATAAACGTCATTTTAGAAAAAACCCTCTCATGCAGAATTCAAAATCTTCATTTACTGTGCAAATTTTCTCAAATTGTTTTTCCGACGATCAAAACTTCCTAACAGAATACATAGGTGTTGATGGACAATGTGCTATAAAATGCAACTTTATTCATTACAAACTTAGCTATAAATTGCTGAAAATTTTTGCTTATTTAAAAAGGAAAGAGTAAGGTCTTTACGAAATTGATCAATTAAACAGAGCTAAATGATGAAATAATAAATTTTTCTAATAGAATACATAGTTAGATTTGAATTATTGTACAGAAACATTTTGGTAATATTTCAGTGAGATCATCGCTAGAATACAAAATAAATACCAAAATGGATAGACGGATAATGATTACAATATGTTCAAAAAGAAAAAAATGATCCATTTGATTGAATAATTAGAAACTAAATACATGTGAAAATAATATATATACATTTGGTATAATTATACTTCTACGCTAATCAGAACAAATATCATGACTTAACAGAAAATAAGGATTGTCGAGAAAAGTATGTCTTAACCATCAAAGAATTTTAATATAACAGGCTAATGATGAAGGATTTGAAGAAAGTATACTTGCGAAGAAATTTATAGAAGGAAAAAATTTCAAAATTTTGAATAATTTAAAAGGTGTATTAAAAATACGGGCAATAAAGTGGAGTCGTCAGTGAAATTGAATAAACACTATTACTTTGCTTGCACTATGTTTATTGCTCATATATAAATATAGCATAAAATGTTGTTATTCGTATATCTCTCCAAACACTAAATCCCGACATAAACGAATTATTTTTGATTGATATTTTCGCAAAAATGTCTTGAAACTATGACTAAATAATAAGATCAATTACGGAGCAAAATCATCTCCACCGGTTAGTATGAGAATATCACTTCATACGCTTCAAAATACAATACAACAAATCAATGAATAAATAAGAGATGATGAAATTTCATTTATTATTCTATAAATTTAAGTAATGGCTTATCAATTCAAATTCATGCTTTGGATGATACTATTTTTTTCAAATAAATAAGGATTGTAGGTTAAGGATTTCATTTCCTTAGAAGAAAAAATGATGCAGCTGAGAGTAACTAGCAATAATCTGTTAGGTCTTATATATACCGCTTCATATCTAACTTTTCAAATGAATGAGAAAGAGAAAATTTGCACAGCATTAAAAAAAAATTTTCGTTTCTTTTGTTACTTTCAAAAGTTATCAGTAGGACATATTGCAAATTAATATCCAAAAATTTATTATTACTTCAATATTTTGCTTAATAGTCCCTACCTGAAAATGGATAATTTGAATAACTCTATAAAAAGTTCAGCTCCAAATGTTATTATATCTGGTGTTTCGTGTTTGTTGATTGGCAAAAAAATTTTTAATTTTATTAAATCATAAACATTCTTTCATGTATGCTAGTGTTTGAATTTGAATCTCACCTAATCTGATTAAGACGAAGATGCCAAACCTTTACACGAAGAGACTTTCAAATGATGAGTCAAATAAATTTGTTTTAAGTAATAAAGTTCGACGAGTTTGGGCAAGAAGTTACGGTTCTGTAGGATAAAAGAATGCCATGATACGATCTTGGCCATATTCATTGCTAGCAATGCAGATGTATACTCCCAAGTCTTCCCACTGCGTATCGTAGATAATCAAATCTCCATTTAACAATGTCTGAAATATTGGAGAATTTTTGAAATGTTATTTAACAGAAGTAATTCGAAATAATTATCATTTATTCAACCAAGGCTTGACTTAATTTTTACATGTTCTTATGTAATTACATTTACTTTGTATTTTTTTACATTGTCGAGTCTTGAATTTTCCTCGTTGTACCAAGTGATATTTGGTCGCGGAGTTCCATCAACTCGACAGAATAGCTGCACTGTTGCACCAGATCTTTCGAAGCGACCATCTGTCCACATGTTTATTATTGGTGGTGAATGTTTATGGGAGCATTTCACGTCCTCTTCTGAAAATTTCTTAAATAATGAAATAAAGTGAAGATGTTTAACTTGACCACTCTGCTTACAGTCCAGTAAAGCTTAAAATCATGAACTTATAGTACTGAAGGTAAGGGATATGCAAACATTATATGAAAGTGTTGAAACTCGCCAACAACAACAGTTGTTGTACTTTCCAGTTTTTGATAACCGTTACTCGCTAAACATTTGTATTCCATTGTATTTTTGGTTTTTATACACGGGACGATCATTTTGGATACAGTTACACCATACTGTATGGTGGTAAGACCAGCATTATGCAATTTTTCTGCACCATTACTTTCATCCACGACATAAATCAAATTGCCATTAAGTGCCCTGCAAGATTTATCACTGAAGTAAACCTTCATTCAACAACGTTAATTATGAGCTTATTTCTTAGCATCAATTTGCCTCCAGTCTTTGTAATAATCATTTTCAAAATCTAAAAAGTTGATCAAATGATATAAGCATTATTTGAAATGTAAAACTATACTTTGAATGCAGCTTCAATAGAGATAATTATAACAAACTGCTCGTATTGCCATAATTAATATAACTGGAAGTGTCTGAATTCACTACAAATGAAAAATCGCTAATTCAGTTAATGAAAACTAACTGATACATTAACAACCTAATAAAGTTAGCACACTTCACTCCATTCTTAACTTTTAAAGACTGAATAGCGAAAGATTTTTTAATGCAGTAAAAGGAACCATTCGATGATTGGTGGTGGAATGCCAATCGCTTCACATTTCAACACAAGTTCATCTCCCGCAGCTATTTCAACTTCTTGTGGTGTCTTAGTGAAGTTCAAATAGGGCGCTTCAGTTAAATGTTCTAGAATTATTTTTCACCACCAATTTCATTAAGTAAATAATATCTGGGTTACCCAGAAAGATTAGCATACCTATGGGAAAACTGTGCAGTTCATATTCTACTTTTTCTACTCTTCAAGTGATTCCTCAATTTATTACAAATAAAAAATAAATGGTTTAAAAACCTGTCTACCAGCAAATTTAAGATAATATATTTTAACAAGAATCTTGCATGCATCCGAAGATTTTAATCATCAAAGACAGCTTGCATCAAAATTACCTGCGTTAAAATCAGTGTTAAGTGCTTCTGAAGCCTTTTGAATATTCCTTTGCACAATCTGAAATCATCATTATGTCTCAATTTTTAAGCAAGCAGCAAAGAAATTGTACAATTAGAGAAAAGGAGAAAGCCAGGAAATTCTCTAAAATGTGAGTCACTTTAAACACTGCCGAACACCGTAACTTACGTGACTTTTTTCAAAAATATTTTGTTGATGTGATGCGGGCATTGTTAATGCGATCAAAGTCGGTAAATAGATCGTTGTGAAATCAGCAACATGGAACATCCTCTGCTAGAAATAAAACTGAAAATGTAATAAAACCACTCATTCCTCCTAAAGAGTCAAATCGCCAATGAATTTATTACAGTAATTAAAAACAGCAAAAAGGTTTCATATCGAATAGGTTAGAAAGCATTCCTCACTGTATGGACCAAATTAGAAAAGCTAACAAGAAATAAAAGATTAATCATTGCATGCTGAAATAAAGAGTATCTCATAAGGAAGCATAAGAATGTCTGGAATTTGAATAAGATCTGAATATATAGGTTAAAAACGATATAGGTATTTTCGACAAACGTTTTCTTTGAAACTTGTAGCGTATAAGGATGTGAACTTTTTAGACGTTTTGTAAAGAAATCCGGAATGATTTAAGAAAAAGAAAAATCAAATTTAAATAAAACGATTCTGTAGTGCACTGCTGCAACACAACAGTGCTCACTAATTTCGACAACCACTTTGGCAACTACTTCTTACTGAAAAATATTCTCTGTGTGAGCAAATTAACCTTTTCTTGCAAAACTGGAAACATGGAAGAGTAGGAAAATACGGATTCAGCACCGCATCAATAGTATAATTTGCTAAACCTAGGTCGTATGTGCAATATGGAATCCAATTAACTTTTTTTATTAAGCTAAAAATAGTCTAATGTATTTATTTTTTATCTAAAATTATAAATTTCATAACACCAATAAATTGTTTATCTGTTACACAAATTAGTAAACGACTGAAATGATTTTGTAGCAGAATTAACCTTATACCGATTACTAGTTACATAAATATTTCCAGTTTAGTTCATTTTCATGTCCATAGACACTAAAAAATGTTCTTTTCATAGCCAGTGATTCAAATGCTGTTGTAATATCTTTTAAAATATTCATGATAAGAACTGCTCGAAACGTTCATTTATTTTCCTGTACTAAATATGATTATGGCATGTTTTATTCATCATTACTGGCTCTTCCGATCATCATTCCCTTTTCCAGATAATGGCATGATTATAAATTGGACATGGTAAAAGATCGAGATCTGATTTTAAATTGCATTATCTCACCAATTCTATGCATAAGTGT